CTTTGTGCTAACACTGATGACATATTTCATAAATCATGTCTTTTTTTTATTGAACAGTGAGAGAGACAGAAAGACAGAGAGCGAGACATTTTAAAAAAAAAAAAAAAAAAAAAAGGTCACTAAGGGAGCACAGACTGTGGAAAGGAGGCAATTTAGGTGACATTGAGGATAAAATGCATTTCACTTCCCATTGTCCTCAATATGAAATGGCCATAAAGACAGATTTTTAAGAAATACCAACATATATATATACTGCATAGGGATGGGTACCTTTCACATTTGAACCGATACGGTACCGATACCCGGTACCTGGAAATCGGTACCGGTAAGCAACGGTACCTGTTTTCGGTACTTTTTTGCATGTATGTGTGGTAACAAAGGATATTTCATTTAGAATTTTTTTTTGTCAAAACTAACATTTATTTCTCAATATCAAACAGGATAAAACAACATCTAACACTGTTTGTAACATAATATAAAAAGGTAGCCTATATAAATGACTATGCAACAGTTCTTTTTATTGCACAAAATGAACCCACTCCTACTACCTCCTATTCCTCCTCTTTCCCCTCTGGGAAAAATGTGTGTGGGGGAGTGTAACGTTAAAGTTACAGAATACGAGGAACCGAGCTGATAATGATAACTAAGGCAAGTTAAAATGCGAAGATAACGTTAGAATGACCAGAACAAAGCCCAATCATCTTAAACACTAAGCTTATTAATTACCTGGAACCGATGTAGCTGATGCCCCGCTTAATCACCGTCGTCATCATCAAACGTTAATCCCACTTCTTCTGCCCCGATGCTGGCTGCAGATGACAACGAGCCACTAGCTGCAGGTGTGCTAACGCCGGGAGAAGTAGCTTTAACTTTCAGGCTATCAAATACTGTGCAGTCGTCAGCCTTTAAAAACACGTTGTGCTTTACCAGGTGCTTCCTCAGGTTTAAGGTATTTCCGTAGCTGGCCTTGCATTTTGCATCGCAAATATTGCAGCGAGCGTAGTCTGCATCAAACTTTGAGATATGGAGCCACACCTTCGACCTCTTTCTCTCAGCCATGCTGCTTTGTTGATAGTTGCTTCTGACGTGATCACACTCTCGTGCGTACAATGCTGCGTTCACGATAGGCAGCGAAAACGTCACTCCTCCACTCTCAAAGTCCCGAGGATGCGTTCAGGTACCGAAATGTGGTACCGTTTGATTTTACATGAATCGATACTCGGGATTACCGGCCGAATTCAGTCGGTACCAATAAAAGTACCGAACTCGGTACCCGTCCCTAATACTGCACCATGCACTTTCCTTTTAAATTCAGAATAAACCTCACATTACGTTGGAGAGAAACAGCTCACTCTGTAGAAACATACAGATTCTATTTACATATTTGACTTTTAAAAAATTAGGATCTTAAACAAAAAAGTTCTCATGTAATAGTTCAAACGTTTTTGTTATAAAGGCATCTGTGAACAGAGTTATTATCAGATTTGGTATGTAATAAAAGTTGAAACAGAAAACCTATGAACTTTTCCTGCCCCAGCGTTTCCAAGCTGTATTATTGTTTGCACTACTGTCATAAAGAGGATTGGATAACTTCTTGTTTTCTTCAGAGCCTAGCAACAGTTTCCACAGTTACTTCCATTTTTCTACTGTCCCCCATTTCTGCTACTGGGGATAGAAACTGCAAGAAACTTACATTGAAACTCTTTGATAACTTGGTATGGCAACTGATAGCTACCAGCAAAAACGAAACCATTATCCTCATCCTATTTTGGTTGCACTATGATTGACACACTTCCTTTCAGAGCCTTCCTTTGCGATCATACCCAATGGCAGACAGATTTGCATAGTGAAAGCAAGGCTTACAGGGGACAATCTAAACACAGACGGTCTTCTTTTCTATAGCCATTACATTGTGCATTCAACATTTACGTCACAATGATAAATTAAAACAAAAAACTTCTAAACAATTTCCATTCTAACATTAACGGTTGAGGTTATGTAAGGTTTATAATTCCTTTAGAATTGACAAACTGTTTGTACTTATTCAGAGTGAAGTATTTATTATCATCATCCTTACAGTTTGCTTTGAAGGACCTTGATCCAATATAAGCATGCATCATATGAGGACTGTGTTCTTTGACCACAAAATAATTATGTAAGAATGGTCTAATAATGCAACAAGTTTTCATACCATCTAAATGGCAAAATAAGTTGTTTCAGTGCTCTCCAACACAGCCCATATGGGAAGGCAACCACATCATAGAATCATGGTAAAGGTTAGGGAAAGGCTGTGGTCATGCTTTAAAGAAAATGCTGTATAAAATAAAATAGCATGACACTACTTCCTGCTGCACCACTGAGCATAAACACTAGTCATTTTAAGGTGTTTGAGCAAATGACCTCTGTGTATTTGTCAGTGAGCATAGCTTACATAAGTTTATGTGTGTGCCCTCAATGTGCCTGTGTTATTCATGCCTCTGGCTTGTCAATATAAATATGGATAAGGCTTCTCAAGTCGACCCCAGTGACCTCCATAAATACCTTCAGTACTGTGAAATCACAGAGAGGATTTTATATGTAACAGTAACCTATGGTATGACATCGGATATCAAGTGGTGGAATGTAAGTATTTAGTTGAATACTGAATTTAAGTATAATTTTGAGATACATTTTCTGATATTTTATACTATAACTCCACTAACTCCATTTAAAAATGAAAATATTATACTTTTTATTCCACTAGATTCATTTTATAACTGTAGTGAGAGTTACTTTTCAGATCTGGATTTTACATGTAAAACAAATGATAAGTTTGTGAAAATAATGCATTGTTGTGCATACACACTTTGCATAATGATTACCTTTAATATTGATTGATTGATTGATTTTTGCTGCTAATTTTGTGTATTTTAACATAAATATAAATTTAAGTGACTGTTACTTGTAATGGAGTGTTTTACATTGTCCTATTTCCTCTTATACTTAAAAAAAGGAAAAGATCCCTATACTTACTCCACCGCTGCCTCTGTCAAGGAAACCATAGGCAGAACACACAGTAATAGCTAAAGCGTAAATGGCAATAAATCAGGTGGCTGGGTTGAATTCAGTATGCAAACTGGATTATTAGACAGATTAAGATTAAGGCCTTCCTGGTGGCTCAATAAAAAGACAAAATCACATGTGAATAATGTGCAAAGCTTTAAAACACACCCACACACATTCTTGTACTTCTATCTTTGTGGGGACCCTCATTGACATAATGCATTCCCCAGCCCCTTACCCTAACCTTAACCATCACAACTAAATGCCTAACCTAAACCTAATTCTAACCTGGCCCCTAAAACTAAGTCTCAACCCTCAAACAGACCTTTGAAAAAGTGAAGACTGGGTAAAAAGACCTCACTTTGAAAAATGTCCTCACTCTGTTGCTAAAATATGTTTTTTTGGTCCTCACTGTGTCACATGTACAAGTACACACACTCACACACACAAAGTGCATTAAGTTGGTTAAATGATAATAATGTAATCAAATAGGGGAAAATATTGAAGTTTTAAATTTTTAGAGTTCAAAATGTCTAATTTAGACTTGAATAACTAAAATTATTTTCAAAGAGTTGTGATCAAAGTCACAGGGGTCCAAAAAAAGTCATACATCATCTAGTCTGAACAGGAAAAGGCTCTTTGAGATCTTGGTGGGTTTTGTTAAATAAGAATTGGGTTAATTAACTACATCTTAGGGCTGTACCAAATAGTTTGAGACTTCAATGATTGATTCATAAAATTGACATTCAAATTCTAATTCATTCTGTTTCAACAAGGTATTTTTGCACAGATGCAGATAAAGATTAGGCTACACTCCTGCTATCAGTATTATTGTAGAATTAGATTCCAGTGGAGGCTGCGTGGGGATTATTTCTGACTTGTGTGATACAAACATTTCCACTAACTACAGAGCAATCTAACAGTGAAAATCATGAAAAAAGATGCAATTATTTCCAAAATTTACAACATGGTTTTATCTAAAAAATATTCTGCTTCCATCCATATTTGTTGGCGTTTAACCTTTCAGAACAAGATTTTCACTGCAGTCAAAAGACTCTCCTGCTTTCTGCACACAAAGGGAGGCAGCACCTGCAAATTAAATTTATTTATTGAAGAAAGAGGGCGGCATGGTGGTGCAAGAGGGTTCCTGGTTCGAACCCAGGGTGTGGGAGTGTGCATGTTCTCCCCATGTCAGCGAAGGTTTACTCTGTGTGCTCCGGCTTCCTCCCACAATCCAAAGACATGCAAGTTAGATTCACTGGTGACTCTAAATTGTCCGTAGGTGTGATTGTGAGTGTGAATGGTTGTCTGTCTCTATGTGTCAGCCCTGTGATAGTCTGGCGACCTGTCCAGGGTGTACTCTGCCTCTCGCCAAATGTCAGCTGGGATAGGCTCCCCCACAACCCCTAACAGGATAAGCGATTACACAAATGAATGAATGCATTAAAAGATGGTTTAACAAACAGAGAAGAGTAACTCATTTAATCTGATGAATCACTTTATTCAAATTGAGGGTTTCGTTTAAGGATTTTTTTTTTATTATTAGGGTGATGACATCATAAAATATAACGGCAGACATTCAAAGCTTCTTTTGAAAACCTCAACAGAATCTCTGAATGTGAAAAAATGGCACAATAACCTGAAATATAATTTGATATCAATGTCAACTTTTTAGGCGTTCATAACAAACAACTGCTTTTCTGGAGAAGACAGTTCCTACTATAAACTGGGCTATTTGTACCTTGTGTTAAGACAAAGCTTAGTGATAAGCTACTAAAAAGATAAGAGCATTTAGTTCAAGGAAGATACCAAGTCCTGCAATCCACACTAGCTCAGTCCCAAACTACAGTGCAGGTGTAGAAGGATGGTAGGGGTACACTTTGCCCAGAATGCAGGTTCACATTTGAAGACATGGTACTCATTGCACTTAATTTCTCAAGACCAAGGCTGAACCTCACCTCAACAGTCTTCTTTTTTCCTCTCTCGCTGTAACTTTGTCTCCTGTCTCCCTCGGCCACTCTCCCTTGCTCCCTGTTACAGAAACACACACACATATACACACCTCTGATTTCACGACTCATCACCCCCATGACCCACATAGACCTGGAACTAATTCACACAAGCCAGAAAGAGATGGAGAGGAAGAAAGAGAAACAGAAAGAAAGCTGACAGGAGGCAGACCGAACGAGGAGGACAGGAGGCTGATGCTAAATGAGAGAAAGCAGAAAGCCAAAGCAGAAAAGACAAGCACGAAGTGGGGGGGCGATGCTGAAGGCAAGATGAGAGAAGAAATTGGGTAGGAACGCAGGGCGAAAGAAGGCAATAGGGAGGAGGAATGGAGCTGGATAATGTAGCCGGTAAGTGATAGACTGAGCAGCGGGAGAGGTAGAGCGAGGTCAGATAGAGAGATGGATAGAAGGAGGGGAGAGGAGGGGTGGAAGGAAAATTTGGGTCGGCGAAGTGCAGCTGCATCGGGAGAGAGCCGAGATGAGGAGGGTAAAAAGGGGAGAGAGACAGGAGGCAGGAAATCAGTTGAGCAGACAGAATGTAGAGTGTGTGTAGAGAGGATAAGTGGAGGGGGTGAAGATGAGAGAGAGGTAGAAAGAGAGGAGGAGATGGAGGAGGGGGGGTGCGGAGTAACAGTCATCAGTATTCCAGCCTTGTACTCAGTTTCCAGCCAAGACAAATGAGAGCCAACATCAGGGAGGAAGTGGATCAGCTGAAAACACACCAACCTCTCCCTCTGTCACCCCGCTCCCCTTTCTCTATTTTTCTCGCTATCTCAACCCCCTCCTTTCACAAAACAGAAGGAACCTTATATCTGCAGTAGCTCATGCTGTTGGGACCCTCCCAAACACACACACACACACACACACACACACACACATACACAGCAGTACCATAAATAAACTGTTTTGGTGTGTCACGTTCACCCTTTTCCCAGGTTATTTCAGCAGTAAGTCACCCCCCCCCCCCCCTCTTCCCCACGGAGGATTTATTTGAGGTGTCATCATGTCAGGATTATTTATTGACATTGTTTATTTATGATTTTCAGAGCCTGGGAAGTCTCAAGGGAAAATATACAAATTTGTGCTCTGGAGTTTTTTAAATGTCTAAGCACAAAACAGTTACAAGAACTCTGCAGACAGGAGATAAATCTGAAATCTGAAAGTTAAAAAGGGTCATTTAAAGGAACACTTTGTCTCCCAAATGCCCATTTGTCTATCAGTTTCTCACCCCATGTTACACTGAATTCATGAACACAACACAGTGAACGAAGAATCCAAAAACAGAGAAAATTCTTGATGAATTGAAGCAAAGAGGGGGGTGCATTTAACAACAGCGAAACTATATCAAAACATCTGTTTACAAAGTCTCACACAGATTGTGCAGTATAATCCATTTATCCAGCCATAGTCTCAGTACTTTAATACATGTTTTCGCTAAAACTTTATTATTTAAAACACTTTGCATCAACAGTTTCACACGTAGCACGCGCATGTGTTTGAATTCTGCTCAGTAGAACGAACAAGCAGAGCTTTGTTAGAATTTATGTTTTGAAACAGTTCTGTTCTTACACACACTTTCACCCTAATTAATGAAGAATGTTGCCTGTTTTGGATTCTTCGTTCACCTCAGAGGCATAACAGAGCACTATAAAAATATGTGTGTTTATTTACCAGGTGTTTATGAGACATTTAAGTCAAAAAAACATTGTTTAACAGGCTAAATCTTAGTTTATCCATCCATGTATCTCTGTCCTCAGTGAAATCTAAACTATGATAAATCCAAGTGGCTCGTTTAGATCACATTATCCCTGCCCTGACAACTTTAACCTACTTTGCATTGAGGTATGGTCACATTAGCCTTCTGTCCAACTAGGGATGTACCCATATCTCAATACGAGGTACAGCTGTTCTAAAAAGAACAAATTATGCGGCGTAAACAAACATATCCTACCCGAAGTTGTTCGTCATTATACAGGGGGAGAAAAGATGCCATGATTGATATGTCACTTTCTTCAGATCACTTCATATTGTGACAAGCAGCACATACAAGGAAACGGGAAGTAACAGTCTGCAATGTCAAGCCTTTGATGAGACTCAACACAGGAGACAAGACCTGCTAAACACTGCTGGAAAATACAGCCGGAGCAAAGAAATGCAGCAACACAGGAGTCTGACTTCACTAACTGGTTGTTTCATTTACTACAATTATTGAAAAGTGATATAGCCGCCCTCACCAAATCAGTGCACAGCAGGCAGCAGGCTGATAGATGACCTTTCCCAGCGATGAGGAGGAGACATCATGTGCTGGAGTAGCGAGACAAAAGCCTGATGTGACAGCCGGGTTTCATTCAAACGCATGCAAATTATACATCAAGATAAAGCTTTGAACCTGTAGTTTTTAAGTGGTATTTATTTATTGTAACTATTTTGACTCATTTAAATATTTATATTTAATTATATATATTTTATATATTTATTTCCATACATATTTATTTTAGGATTTATTTTTTTAAGCAAATTTATTTTATTTGTTTGATGTTTGTTTGTTTATATAACATTGATTTAAATTGGATTCTGTAGTGGTGGGACTTAGACAGCTCACAAAACTAAAAATGAAAATGAGCAGGGCAGAGAGATGAAAAGTTCTGTGTGAGGTGCTCTATCTGAATACAGAGACAGATAATTTCATAATGAATGCATACAGATAATGAGGTCCCTATGTCCACTAAAACTGCTCCACAATATTGCTCCAAAGACCCCATAAGGGCTGTGATATCAGTGATTTTGGTTTGATTTTGTAATGTATAAATATTGAGCACAGTGATCACGAACTGTAAGTACAGCATGCTGCAGTTTTCTACATTTCAAAACACAGTGCATCAGTGTTTGTTTTGGCTGACTTTGCAAATTTGTGGGGTTGAACAAAGGTGAACCTTTGGGTCTGCCAGGAAATTGCACAAAGACAGGAAATCTTGTATTCTTCTGTCGTAGAAGCTTCGATTGCATCCAGTGGAAAAGCTCATTTTTGCAGGTGAGTGACTCTACCTTTAGGCTACACAATGGTATTCACTGTGTGCACCTCACAGACAGCAGCTCAGATTTGCCAGTATTATTGAACCATGATGTAGTGTAGCATGAACACTGTATAAAAAGTGCAATGAGGGGACAAGGACAAACCTAACACATGCGAAACTGAACTACATTATCATAAAGCAATGAATTTAGTATTTGTGGGCATCTCTGTACCAAAACACAGCTGCTAGCACTTCGGCTGCTTCTCTGTAACTGACCAGAGCAGCTAATAACAACCTTAAACTTGTACGGCATATTTTAGTCCATCCAGGAGGTCTGCGTTGTGTGGCTCAGAAGTAGAGTGGGTCGTTCACCATTCGGAAGATCAGCGGTTCGACCCCCGGCTCCCCGAGTCTGCATGTCGAAGTATCCTTGAGCAAGATACTGAACCCCAAATTTCTCCAGATCATGCTTCCATTGGTGTGTGAGTGAGTTAAAACCTGAGTAGCAGGTGGCACCTTGTATGGTAGCCAGTGTATGAATGGGTGTATGTGACTCAGTATAAAAAGCACTTTGAATGGTCGGATGACTAGAAAGGCGCTATACAAATGTAGGATGCATCCATACATTTTTGCAGGATACAATACATCCATTTATAATAATAATAATGAGGAGGCCCGTCATCCTTTTTTACACCGCCATCTAGTCTCTGAACAGGAACAGAATATGTACTGGTCAGTCATACAGTTGGCTCATTACAGGCACACACAGCACGCTTGGGCATGTTTCTCATGAACTGGCGATGATTTTAACACCTGTATTGGTGTTTACTGACACAAGAAATTATTAGTACAATTACAATAATACAAAAATATGTACCTGATAGGAACAGAATATGTTCTGGTCAGTCATACAGGCAGCTCACACACAGCACGCTACAAACGAACAGCATGTTATTTTAGCACAGAGGCCAGCTAGCTATTTCATAAAGGGCATTACGCCATTACTTGGACATTTCATCATTTAAAAAGTACAGCCACCCACTTGTAACTCTTCGCAGTTACATTTCCATAACTCACAGTGCATATATGTTCTATGGTGGATATACAGACATTAATACACGATATCTGTACACAGTGCCGCCCTCGACAGCTCACCTCGGGCACGTCTCTCACGAACTGGCAATATTTTAATGCCTGCAGTGGCATTTACCTACTACCTCTGAGAGAGGGCACCCTACACAGGTATAACCACATAACTACATAAGTGCATGACTATCACATTATAGCATTAATAGCAAGTGGAACTACATACAATACAAACTCTGTTACACAGGCTAGTAGCCCCCCAGCCAATAACAGTGTACAGGTGACAATGTCAGACCATACGTAACACGCATCCATAAAGAAGCTACAAAGAAAACAGCACTGAAAAAAACACAACTATAACAAAGCAAAAGTCCAAGTGGACAAAGTTCGTTCCAAAACACTGTTCTTGGTTGAGGTCAGGGAGAAAAAACATGGTTTGTGTTAAAATGAACAGATAAACACAGATTCTAAAAATCACTTTAAGTGCCTCAATCCAGCATTTTTATTTTCCAGCGTGGAGAATTTGAAATGTCGGTGTAAATGCAGGCTGAAGGCAGCAGTGCAGGGTGGCTAAATATACACTTGAACACAGAGGTTTTTAGCAGCTTTGCTGATTGACGGGTGTTAGAGAGAAATGAACTATGATCTTGATGACACCATAATATCAACATGAGCCAGTCACATGCTCCGGCCCAGCCATGGCCTTCAATCAGCTTTGAGTTATCCCTTCAGTGTAATCTCCCCCCTCCTCTCCCTCTCCTCTCTCTCTCTCTGAAAAACACAAACAGCACACACAGTAATGATTCCACCCACCCACCCACTCTCTGTCTTTTGGTCTCTCTCTCTGTCTCCCTACCTGCCCCCTACTGGGTTTTCCTGCTCTGATTACTGTTTGTACCCACAAAAACAAAACCCACTGTGG